TGCTGCTGCTGCCGCGGTTGCCGTTTGGTGTTTGCTGCTGCTGCTGCTGCGGTTGCTGTTTGGTGTTTGCTGCTGTTGCTGCCGTTTGGTGCTTCTACTTCTACTGCTTGGTGGTGCTGCGTGACGTTTTTTTCAAGTAAGGTGCAAAGTAAGTTTCGCAATTAATGCCAAAGATAGGAGGAGCTGCCAGGTGTGCATGTGGTATTAACTTGTATTAGGTACACTTAATTTTTGTGCTGCAAAACCATACCGTAGTAGTAGTGTTCTAACAGAGCTAGTATCCACCTACCTTTCTGGATTCTATTCATGGTGGTTAGGTTATTTTTAAAAAATCTTTTATTTTTCAATTAACAAGCCCCTCCTTCCCCCCTCCCCCCCGCCGCCCTGTTCTACTTTGCCCCATTTAAAAGACAAGGAAAAGGAGGGAAACCGCTTATAACAAGTATACATAGTCAAGTAAAACAAAGTTCCATATTGTCCATGTCCAAAAATGCGTGTGTCAGTCTGTATCTTGAATTCATCACTATCAGGAGGTAAGTCGCATGCACCATCATCTCTCCTTTAAAATTGTGGTTGATAATTGCGTTGCTTAGAGTTCTTAAGCCTATCAAAGTTTTGTCTCTATAATGTTACCTCTATAGGGGCAACTAGGTGCCGCAGTGGATAGAGCGCTGGCCCTGAATTCAGGAGGACCTGAGTTCAAATGCGGCCTCAGACACATAACACTCACTAGCTGTATGACTCTGGGCAAGTCACTCAACTCCAATTGCCTCACCCCCCCAAAAAAAATTAGAAGTCTACAATGTTACTTCTATGTATCTGTTCTCCTGGTTCTTCTCATGTTATTCTCATCTAAGTTTTTCCAGATTTCTCTGAAGCTATCGCTCTTGGTCATTTCTTATGGCACAATAATGTTACAATTCAAATTTTGCCTTAGACATTTACTAGCTGCTAGATTGTGATTAAAATGGAGGCTGTTGTAAGGACCAAATGAAATAACAGGGAAATGTTTGCAAACTTTAAAGCACTATAATAAATTTGAACTGCTTAAGTTACATTGATGGGCAACCTCCTAGTTTCCACTTCTTTATTACTAAATTGGTAGGTAATTTAGACAAAACCAGCTGGAAAGCAGAGGTGGTTGCAAATCACTTAAAACCCAAATCAAATGCTACCTTTTTGATGAAGCCTTCCTTAAGTACTGAAGTCATAAAAGCCCACCCCCCCCACTTATTTCACATAGATCTTAGTTTTGTCCCTCTGATACATTTGTCATGTAATATTGCTTATTATGGTTATTAGCATTTCTGATGCATCCTCCTTTCTGTCTAGTATAAATTCCACTAGATATGACCATATTTTATCTAATATTTATTATTTTTACCAACACTTAGTGCAGAGCCATTCATACAGCAGGTGCTTTTAAAAAGGTTGTGGAATGAATAAATGAATGGAGGATCAGTATTAAGTTCAAGTGTTTTATTAACAACAATTGGCATCTATTAAATACCTTCAGAAATTCTAGGCACTAAACTATGGAAATAAAAAGAAAGATAAAAATGGTCCCTCTCCTCAAGGAGCTCACAATCCATGCTGATCATGGCTGACCTCTCTCTCTCTCTTATTCAGTCTTTAATGTTTTCTGTTTATAAAGAATAAGACATGCCCCTAAGATCCCTTTCCTCTCCTACCATAGGGAAAACAAAAAAGAAAAAAAAATCATCATTTTCAGTCAGTAGTGTTTATGTCTGTCTTTGTTTTTTCTACCAGAAAAATTGTGTATGTGGGGGAGGGATAAGAATAAAATCTTCTTCCCCCCCCCACTACAGTTGTCCTGGTTTGGAGGTGACCTTGGGTTCTCAAAAATCCAGCATAGCAGCAGCTCTGAGAGTTTCTGCCAAACAGAAACAACTTCAGTAGATCCTGACAACAGACTGTGACTAGCTTAACACATTTGGAGAGGCTTGCCACTAAATTGACCTCAGGATAATGAGTTTTACAGTCACATTTGACATTTGATGGCGTTTAGTGATAAAATCATTGATAGAGGTTTTTGAGGAATTGAAATAAGTAACAACATATCATTGTAATATACTTTATACCTTTCAAAGTGCTATCATAATCATTGTTTTATTTATATTTATAGAATAACTCCGTGATTTAGCTACTATTTTACTCATTTTATGAATGATGAAAAAACCTGAAATAGAAGTTACAGGTGAAAATCATACAGTGAACCTGAGGAAGAGTTTAGGGTTAAAACATTTTAGATTATAGTTCTGCTACAAGATGGTCATCCCATTTAAGCCTTTGTGAAGGTCACTCCTTTGTACTGGTAATGAGACAGGCTCAGAACTTATTTTTTTTAATTATTTTTTTTTTGTGAGGTAATTGGGATTAAGTGACTTGCCCAAGGTCACACAGCTAGTGAGAATCGAGTGTCTGAGGCCAAATTTGAACTCAGGTCCTTCTGACTCCAAGGCCAGAGCTTTATCCACTGTACCACCTAGCTGCCCTCTCATAACTTAATTAATTAGCACTGTGTTCCACATGTAGACCTTAATATGTATTGAGCTGTCGATATATATATGTCGAACTGCCTCAACATCCATTTGTGGCAAGGTTGGGTCAATGACTATGGAACTCTAAGCATATCAACCACAGCCAAAATAACAAAACTATAGTCCAGTGGATAGAGTACTGGATCTGGAGTCAGGAAGACTCATCTTCCTGAGTTCAAATTTGGTCTCTGACACTTCCTAGCTGTGTGACCCTGGATAAACTACTTAACCCTGCTTGCCTCAGTTTACTCTTCTGTAAAATGAGGTGGAGAAGGAGATGGCAAACCCCTCCAGTATCTCTGCCAAGAAAACCCCCAATGGGGTCACAGAGAGTCGGAAGTGACTGGGCAGCAGCAGCAACATACGATATGAAGAAAATCCTGAAGAGCACACTGATACAACTAGAAAATTAACAAATCCAACTCCCTCATTATGTGGAAATTGAAGAAATTAAAGCTCAGATTATAATAATAACTTCAATTTATATAGGATTTTTGAGAAGCAGAGTGCAATATTGGACAGAAATTCTGCCAGCCTTGGAGTCAGGAAGACTCTAAGGAGAGGCAACTTGGTGTACTGGAAAGAATGTTGAATTTGGAGTTAGTTCAAATCTCAACTCTGCCCCTTTTACCTGTGTGACCTTGGACAAGTCATCTGACCTCTCTGAGCCTCAGTTTTATCATCTTTAAAATGAAGGGGTTGTACTAGATGATAATAATAATAGTTAATATTCATATACCACCTACTATGTCCTAGGCACTGGGCTTTACAATTATTCTCTTCTTTGATCCTCACAACGACCCTGTGAAGTAGCTGTTATTATTACCCCCATTTTACATATGAGGAAACTGAGGCAAAAAGAGGTTGTGATTTGCCTAGGGTCATACAGCTACGACAGGTTTGAAGCTGGATTTGAAATCCTATCTTTTTGATACCAGGCTCAGCACTCTCTGCATTATGGCGCCACCTTGCCGCCCAGACATCCCTTAGATGACCTGTAACATATGTTCCAGCTCCAAATCTATGATTCTATTATAAGGCTTGGGTTTGACTGTTGCCTCTGACACATAGAAACAAAGCACAGTTGGACAATGGAAGTCATTTAATCTATCAGTACATGAGGCAACTCTTTAAGATTGAGTTGGAGACAAATTGCCAACTTGTATCAGTAGAGGGAGTTTCTACACGAATTCTTTTTGTCGTTCAGTCATGTCTCTTTGTGACTCTGTGGATCATAGCTCAGCAGGCTATCCTCTATCTCTTAAAGTCTGTCAAAGTTTATGTTTTGTTGCTTCCATGACACTATCTATCCATCTCAATCTTTGCTGTCCCATTTTCCTTTTGCCATCAATCTTTCCCAAAATCAGGGTTTTTTTCTAATGAGTCCTGTCTTCTCATTATGTGGCCAAAATATTTAAGCTTCAGCTTCAGTATTTGACTTTCTGGTGAATAGTCTGAGTGAATTTCTTTAAGTATTGACTAATTTGATCTTGCTTTCCAAGGAACTCTCAAAAGCCTTCTTCAGCCCCACAATTTGAAAGCATCAATTCTGAGGTGCTCAGCTTTGCTTATAGTCCAATTCTCACAGCTATACATTGCTATTGGAAAAAACGTAAGTTTGACTATGTGGACCGTAGTATGCTGACCAGATTCGCAATTGTTTTCCTTCCAAAATTGTTGTTGAGTTTTTTCAATTGTGTCCAACTCGCTGTGATCTCATTTGGAGTTTTCTTTTCAAAGATAGTGGAGTGGTTTCCATTTCCTTCTCCAGTGAATCGCCTTTTATCAGAACTCTCCACTATGACCTATCAGTCTTGCGTAACCCAGCATGTCATATCTCATAGGTTCATTAAGTTACACAAGGTGCTCCACCATGTCAAGGTTTTGATCTACAGAGGAAATTCCTTATACTATGAAATCATAGAATAGGAAATATATGTGCATCTATATGTTTCATATATAAAAATTTAAAGTAATATATCTGTGTACATATATACACACATATAACTTTAGAGACATTAGTCAACAAGTATTTATTTTTTAAATAGTATTTTATTTTTCCCCCAATTACATGTAAAGACAATTTTAAACATTCATTTTAAAAAAAATTTTGAGTTCCATATTTTCTCCTTCCCTTGGTCACCTCCCCCTTCCCTGAGACAGTAAACAATTTGATGTAGGTTATGTGTGTTCAATCATGCAAAGCATATTATCATATTAGTCATTTATTATGTATTTATCAAGTATTTATTAAGGGCTCACTGTGTGCCAGATACTATGGCAAATGCTAGGGATCCAAAGAAAAGCAAAAAACGCTCTCCCTGACTTGAAGGAGGTCACATTTTATTCAGGGAGACAACATGCAAACAATTAGCCAATTTTGGAGAGGATATACACACAATATACCTCTATCTTTATACATGTAGATATATAGATATACATTATATATATATATATATATATCTGTACATAGAGATGTAGAGATATCTTGTATGTAATAGAAGCTTCTCCTATATGTGTATGTGTGTGTATATATATACATATGTATGTATGTATGTATGTATGTATGTATGTGTATTTTTTCCCCTGGTCTCTCCTCCTTTCCCTGCCCCTGGGAAGAACCAGGAAAGGCATCTAACAGAAACAAAGCACTTTCCCCATAACCTGTAAATAGGTATTACAGGTGATATCCTTATTTTACAGATAAGAAAACCAAGCCCCAGAGTGGTTCAGTCACATGACCAAGGCCACACAACTAGTAAGTATCAGCACTAAGACCATGACCAGAACCTCTGTCTCCTCTTTCTCATTCCCACTTACTCTCTTGTATTACTTTGCCTTGCCCTCTATGTTAAAATACATTGGACAACCAGGAATTAAAAGAATTTAAAGCTAGCTGCTTCTGTAGACAGTTCTAACTCTAGACCAAAAGTGAGCCAAAGGATACTTATGGCTTGGCCTCAGTGTGGGGGAAGATGGGTCATGTTCCATTCTTCCTGTGATAGTGGACTGTGGGACTTACCTCCAATATCACCATACCAATCCTTACTCCTCACAGTTCCTTCCTCCATCTCCTCCCATCACTGTGCCTCTCCTGAGCTGGGCCATCTGACCCTCAGGGCAATTATCACTTAATTGTTCCCCACACAATCACAAAAATAGCTGCTCACGTGTGATTAGAAAAGGCCCCTCCCTTACCAGCGTACCTCCCCACTACCCATCAGATCACATCTGCTGTAGGAGGTGTCCCTTAGAGGGTGGGCCTGCACCTGAGAGCAGGGAATGGAAAGAATCCCATTGCCCTCTTTTTGTTTTGGGTAGGACAAGAGTGAGTCACATTGTGGATGGTTTATGCTCTACAGCAGAGAGCTCATTACATCATCTTTCCCCCCTGACTCCATACTTCTTCAAAAGTTCCCTGTCACTACTGAGGGTGTCACCATCCTTCCAGTCCCCAAGGTTCTTAACCTCAGTGTCATCTTCAATTCCTTGCCCTCCCTTACCCCCATCACAGTTCAGCTGCCAAATCCCACCATTTCCACCTCTTACTTCTCTCCCTTCTTTCCTCTGCTCTCTTACTCATACAGCACTCCACCTGGGTTCAGGCCTTTATCTTTTTTTGTCTGGACTAGCTGGTCACACTGCCTCAGGTCTCTCACTTCTCCAGTCCATCCTCAACAGGGCTGCCAGAATGATTTTCCCAAAGTCCAGGTCACACCAAGTCATTTCCCTACTCATTGAACTTCATTGGCTTCCTGTTGACTCTAGAATCAAATATTACTTCATCTTTATCTCATCCTTTTAAAATTTTATATTTTTGTGTGAGTTTTATAATGTATATAATTTTTAGAAAAGTACATTTAATAAGTAAATATATACATATGGGAAGTTCATGTTCAAAATTTTTTTACAGATAGGAATATGTGATCAGAAAAGTTTGTAAAATACTGATCTAGACTGTTCAGTGGCATTTCTTTGAGGAAAATGCATAGAGGAAATGCATCAGAAAAGTTTGTAAAATACTGATCTAGATTATTCAATGGCGTTTCTTTAAGGAAAATGCATGAAGGAAATTAGGATATGGGAATGAAAATTTGACTTGATCCTCTACTTAGGATGCCATCAGAATGTTAGTTCTTGTTTTCCCTTTGTGTTGGTGAGCTCCTGTGGAGAATTTTCCAGCTGCTTGCAGAATTCCTGTTATGTCAAGATCAAAGAATTCATCTATTAATAAACACTGCCAATGGCTTTGAGATTGGGAAAACTTTAGTTTCCACACAGTAGTTTGGGAGGGGTTTGGTGTCAGTGAATCCTCTTGATGCTGTTCCAGGGTTCTCTTTGTGAAGTATAAACACCACAAATGGAAGACTATAAAGACAACATCTTCACTCACACCTGAACAAGTTACAGTGCAGTACAGTGTTCCATTTCTTCTCACAAATAATTGAATCTAAAAGCCAGTAGTGGCCACTCAGATCAGGAGACATCTTATTTCTTATGCCCATCCCCTTGGATACCCTCCCAAACCGATGAAGCCTGTTGAGTTTTTGTAAGTTTCTTATCTGGGTGTAGAGAGACCAGGCATTGGGGAAAGGGAGCAAGGAATCTAGACCAATTCATGTTTGTTGAAGTTTGTTCATAATTTTTAAAAATTAAAATGCAAAACTAAAAAGAATAGAATGAGATAATATAACAGTTTGGATTTCCAGAGTCTCTTGAATGCCTTTTTCCCCAAGAGATTTTTCTCATCCTCTCATCCTCTTCTCAGAACTTCCACTGGGGAAACCTGAGAAATTATAGAACCATTGATCTTAGGTCAATGGATCAATAGTTCTTGAGATGGAAGGAACCTTAGAGGTCCTCTAATTCAATCCACTCATTTTACAGGTGAGGAAATTGAGGCCCAGAGAAGTTAAGTAAATTGCCCAAGGTCACAGAGATTGTAGATGACTGAGCCAGGAATTTGATCCAGGATTCATGACTTCTAGTTCCTCACTCTTTAGTTCATGCCACTAAAATGCATAGTACACACATCCCCTGTATACTGAGACCAGAATCCCTTCCATAAACATTCAGTTCACAGAATTGTGAAAGAGTTTTGTGAAAAAAGAGAAAAATAAAAACATAAATCTTTGAATCAACGATATGCATCAGTGAGTCACAATTCTGAACAGAAAAGCTCATTTGGTGGGCCCCTACTTCTCTTACAAGTCCCTGCTGGTCAGGGAGGGCAACGAGGAGAAACTTCTGGCTGTTTCTTGTGGATTTCCAGCTCTGAAATGCCGTCAGCTGGTCTCTACCAACTTCTCAGGCATCAGAAGGATGAGTTTGATATTTCTGTGCCATCACCCTCTAACAAAATGAGGGCAGAGGCCTCTAAAGTCCTCTGCTGGTTACTGCCACTCTTTCTCCTGTCGCTGCTTCTTCTTCTCATCTCTCTTTCTCCAAATTATCAGTTACCCATGATCATGTACCCTTTAGGTTGGACGGTTTCTCGTTTTCCTCAGTTACTCAAAAGGGGAGAAGGAAGGGGAGAAGGGGAAAGTATCCCAACAGTCACTATGTGTGTATGCAACACTGTCATGTTAACCTGGTACTGGCAAAGAATTGGAGGTGCCATATGAGTGAAGATTACAGGTGACTGAAAATTACCCTCTTTTGTGTAACTTAAAAAAAAATTAACTTTTAATAAAAATATTTCTGAAATGGGGGTCTGAGCCAGACCCCTGTTACATTTTCAAAATATCAGTGTACATATTTCTATATCCATATGTATGTCTAGTTTATATTTCCCTGACTTCTTAAACAGAGTACACAGTCTTAGTGACTTGAAGTCATCATTGGAAAGAAAGTCTTGTGACTGAAACTTAGCAATGTCCCCACAAACTGTTGAAAGGTAGAAGAATGTTTGCCTCTACTTTAAAAGGTCATAGGCCAGTCTACCTTTTGCAAGCTTGCATCTGCATTCTGTAGTTTTCCACATCCTGTCCTTACTGTCAGGCTATCACTTTTCACAGCTGTCGATGTTCCTGCCACGAGCACACTTCCTTTCCCTTCTCATTTGTAGTATCTCATGTACTCTGGCCTGGAAAACCAGATAAATAATCTTATTAGAATTATTTCTAAAAGAAGAAGTGGAAAACCAAAGTAGACAAAAGACACACATTGCCTAGATTATGACACATGCATCTGGACAAGCAGTTCATCAAACTGATTGATCCTGTGAGTATCTTAGACAAATGATGCAGTTGGATAATGAGCTTGGCCAGGAAGTGAGTAGGAGGAAGAGATCATGCAGGATTGCATTTTGGAATTTGCAGTGTGCTTTTAAAGATACAAATTTGCTGTGAGCCAACAGTCTCTAACTAACATTCTGTAGTAGCAAGTCATAGAACAGAAAAACTCACAAAAATAAAAATTATAAACAATTCAAAGGGCAGCAGAAAGACACCTGATCAATGTAAGCAGGTTACAGAATATGTCCGTTAAGTTCAACCAGCATTAAGGACTTAGTTTGGGCCAAAACACTGTGCTAGGTATTAGGAATAATAAGACAAAAACAAAATGATCTCTTTCTTCAAAGAAATTATATTCTAGTGGAGGATATAATGTGGTCACAGATGACTAAATATGAAGTATATGCAAAGTAATTGAAGGGGAGAATCAGAAAAGACCATTTATAGAAAGTAGAACCTGAAATGAGCTTGGAAGGGAGGGAACAGGGATATTTGCTATGCAAAAAGTAAAGTAGATAACCTTACTAAGGCCATAGATTCTTGTTTGTCCTTCATTCTCAAAGAGGACAAATGACATCAGGAGGGTTACGTCTTGACTTGCAAGTAAATTGGATTTAAGTGTGCAGAGTCACCAGCCTCATTCTATCCTTTGGAGCAATCAGGGTCCAGTGGCCAGATACAGATCAGAACAATTACAGATGGCTCTGGATGCAGTAGGAGACCTTGGTCTTTTTAAGCTAAGATCTTTAACAGGTTTCAGTTTGTTTGAGACAATGCCCATTCAGTGATTAAGGCTAGGTGAGAAATGAGGCAAAAATGGCCTCTTTTACCTACTTAAAAAAATCTGGAAGGGGAAGACCCCCAAGAAATTTGGCCAATTTCTGGCCAAAACAGAAACAATTGCTATTTAAGCTCACTCTGAGCCATCAAAACCCAAACAATGACCAAGTGAGGGTTGGCTGGGACCTATCCTTGGCCGAACAATGAGAGCCAGAGTGATTTGGGATTAAGTCATGGTCACTGTAGCTCCATTTGAATCCTGATGGGTTTTATCAAAGCCTGGGTTTCCAATGCTGTATTTCAAGAAATCATGAATGAAACTACATGGGGCAAAAGAGTTAATTGTCCCAGTTTTTAAAAATTGATTTTAAGTAAATAGGAATGAGAAAAAAAAGAAATCTAGACCATAAACCCCAAGATACCCTGCGAGGTTTTAGGGATCAAAATTTATGTTCCTTTGTGCAGAGCATCCACAGGTAAGAGTATGATTCCCTATGTGGAAGGAGGAGAAGAGAGGGAAGGAAGGAAGGAAAGAAAGTAAGAAGGAAGGAGTATTGTTCAACTAGAATTGGCCAGTTGGGTCCTCAGTGGGGGCTGTAGAGGAGATGGGATCCAAAAAGAGATGGACTGATCAAGTCAACAAGTCAAATTAACAAGCATTTATTAAACACTTTATTAGACAGTGCTAAGTGCTGGAGATACAAAGAAAGGCAAAAAACAGCCCCTTCCCTCAAGGGGTATTCTAACTATGTACAAGCAAGCTATGTACAGGATCCATAGAAATAATTAACAGAGGGAAGACACTAGAATTAAGAAGGATGGGGAAGGATTCCATATAAGGTGGGATTTTAATTGGGGCTTGAAGGAAGTCAAGAGGAGATAAGGAGTGAAAGCATTCCAGGCCCAGGAACTATCCAGAGAAAATGCCCAGGGCCAAGAGACAGAATATCCTGTTCAAGGAATAGAGAAGCAGGAAACTCCATGCTCAGGAGAGATGACAATTCTCCTCATGATATTACCATAATATACCAGTGACTCTGCAGCATCAGAGATATGTGCTGCCCAGGCCACAGATGCGCTCTCTATGTGTGTGGTCCACCATGCCTGTTCCTAGGCCCCACAAATTTGCTACACTTGCTCCATTTCCCACTAGTAATATGGTAACCTGTGGGAGAAGATCCCTATGTGTATGGAAGAAATCTTTCCTATGCTTTATGTGTTATGCTGACCTGCAAAATATCTCACATTTGGGAGATGTTTATAGTGACCCAGGTGTGAGAGGTATTCTGGGTGCTACATTATATATACTTAATAATCGCCACCAAATATAATCAAATAAACAAAATAAGGCAAAAATTTTACATAAAACCCTTACTATTTAACAAAGTACAACCAAATGGATGAACAAATAACAAAAAAAATTGTTTTCTCTGTGTTCTAATTTTTCCAAAGTTCCATTACTTTTGGCTCTTAATTTCTTCTTTTTTTTCCCTTTGTGTTTTATCATCGCTCATTAGAAAGGAAGTTTTTGGCAGTGGCGGAGCTCAGCACCATGTCTCATACCATTTTGTTGGTGCAACCTACCAAGAGGCCAGAAGGCCGAACTTATGCTGATTATGAATCAATGAATGAATGCATGGAAGGAGTTTGTAAAATGTATGAAGAGCATCTGAAGAGAATGAATCCCAACAGTCCCTCCATCACATATGACATTAGTCAATTGTTTGATTTCATTGATGATCTGGCAGATCTTAGCTGCCTTGTGTACCGCGCGGACACTCAGACCTACCAGCCCTACAACAAAGATTGGATCAAAGAGAAGATCTACGTGCTTCTCCGTCGGCAGGCCCACCAAGCTGGCAAATAATCCAAGTGGCAGCCTTGGGAGGGTGGGGGGAGGGCTTGGAAAACAGGTGTGTACAGCGTGCCGTAGTGGGAGCTTTGTATTATAGAAGTCCTGTTTCCATTTTGTTACTATCTCGCCAAGGTTGAATATACTAGGAGATTTTTGTCTCGTTCAATCTGAAACCCCTGTCCCTCCCTACTTTCTTTTTTTTACTAAGAAGTAGTTGAAAATTTTTCTTGGGTCAGTTAGCACTTGGTTACAGTTCTTCCAGCTGTTCATATCTGCTTATAATGTTCACTGTGCTTACCCTTCTGTGTGAGGGTTTTACAGAATTTAGTTATGTCCTCAAAACTCAAAGCCTTAGTATCTGTCTTTTCTCTCTAGTGTTTTACATCTGTGGTGCCCCAGCTCTGCAAAAAAGAGAGGGAAGTACCTTCTTATATCTTGGCTATAGTGCTAAGCTTGATCATTATTACTGTCCATCATTCAGTTTCAATTATTTTATAGTTCGTTTCATTTACATTGTTGTAGTTGTGTATATTATTTTCCTAGTTCTCCTTGCTTCACTTGTTTATGTCTTTCCATGCTTCTTTATGTCCATCATTGATGTTTTCTATAGTATGGTAATTAATATTCCATTACACATATGTACCACAACTTGTTTAACCATTCTCTAGTCAGTGAACATATACTTTGTTTCCAAATCTTTACTGCTTCAAAAAAATTATGGTTTTTTTCCCTCATTAACCTCCTTGGTGTATATACCTAACAGTGGGATCTGAGTCAAAGGGTATGAATATTTTAGCCTCCCCTCCCTTTTTAAACATAATTCCAAATTGCTGTCCAGAATGGTTGGACCACTTCAGAGCTACAGCAGCAATGTATCACTGTAACTCTCTTTCCTCCACTACTCCAACATTTATTATTCCTACTTTTTGCCATCTTTACAATTTTCAGGGTGTGAACCAGAGTTGTTTTGATTTGTATTTCTCTTATCATTGATGATTTGAAGCATCCTTTCCTGTGGTTATTAATAATTTACAGTTCTCCTTTAGAGACTCTTATAATATTCCTTTGTATTAATACACCTTAATTTAATCAGCCATTTTTCCATCAGTGACAGAATTTTTTTCCAATTTATATGCTATTACAATTAAAATACACCAGCTGTATAACTCTGGGCAAGTCACTTAACCCCAATCACCTCACCAAAAATAAATAAATAAATAAAATAGATATAAATATTTTTGTTCAGGAAGGCCTTTTTGTGTGATTTCTGCTACATAAAATCCTAGCAATTAAATTGATTGAGTCAAAGGCACATAGTGCCTTATCACATTTTTTTCACATCTAAATGTTTGTTGTTCACTGGACTGTATATAATCTCTTTGAGAACAAAGTCCCTTCTTATCATTTAAACTTTGTGTAAATGCACTATTTGGATGTCATGTAGGAAGACTGTAAGGTACTAGTGGGTAGGGACCAATTCTGTAGCACCAGATGAATGAGTGGGTATGTGGTAGATGCCCTCAACTAATGGCACCCCAGCGCCTGGCACAGTACTTTGCAAATAAGTAGGTGCAAACATATTTGTTCAATAAAACCACTAGATAAACTCTCAAGAAGTATTTATTGCTGGAATGCAAATTCAAGCTGAGGTGGTAGAAGATAGAACAAGCTAGGGGTAGTCTAGTTAGGCTGAAACTTCGTATTGACCTATGTAGGTTTACCCTTTATTGAAGTTCAGAGGTGCTGCGTCTTTATATGTGTGATGAATATGCCTCTGAATCTTGGACTTTGGAATAACGAAGTATGAGAACTTACAATCAGTACCATAAATTCTACCACTGTACATTCCCTCAGGCTGTCATGTTTTACAGTTGTCTCTAGTGTTTATTGTAACCTAGTTTCACCTGAAACTTTAAAAGGGGAAAGGGAGCATAGTATGGGTTGCCTATATTTCTCTTTCAAATGAGAGGCAATGTGACAGACCACTAGACCATGAATCTGGAGATCTGGCTCTTCCACCTGTGGGCTGCATGGTCTTAGGCAGGTCACTTACCTCTTTGAGCCTCAGGTTCCTTATCTGGACAATGAAAGAGTTGAAATGGATAGTTCTTAAGGTCCCTTCTAGCTTGTGAATACTTCTGTATTCTAGGGGCCTCAGGGAGAGGGGAAGTGCCTCTCTCACAGACGTATCAGAAAGTGCCAGGAGGACTAGTCGTCACAGAGGAATGGGAACATTTTCTTTTTATTCTGTTTCTGCACAGCCTTGCTTTCCATGCTGAAAAGGAACATGGACAAAGAAAGATTGTGGGATCATGGATCAAGCCCTAGAAGGAAACCTATTTATCCAGCAAAGCCACTGACATTACATGTCTCAGCCAGATGCCTTCTTTATCTTCTGTCCCTGGATTATTGTGATTCATCCTGAATTCAGTTTACTCTCTTACTCCTTCTGTCTCTTTCCTCCCCCAGGTTCCTCTCAAAGCTTCTTCTCCTGCTGGCTCCTTAATCACCTCCCTCTGGCTTCTTAATAATCTCTAATGCCTCAAATCATAGCCTTCTGGTGGTCCATGACTCATCTTTACCTTAGAAGATAAAACTCAAGAAATACATCTTTCTGTTAGGTGTGAATTGAGCAGTCCTCACATGATCTCCCTATAGTTCCCAAACAGTTTTTTGATTTATAGTTTTGTCAGCCATAAATTTACAAACTCTAAGCAGTAATGCTGTGTAGCTATCATCAATCATTGCTCAGTTTAGGTTCTCTCGGAAGGTACATTTATTTGAGGAGCAGTTCTCTATCCGGTCTTCAAGACACCCTGTCTTGTATCTCCTCTCAACATTTTTATCTGAGAGGTGGTTTTTCCCTAAGTGGATTTATCAGTTTTCTTACACAAATATTTTTCTGCCCCTCTAACAAAACTGTTAGGGGAGTACCTTATACTAAGAAGCAAAAATCATGCATATTGTCTGGTCTCAGTAGTTTTGCCATAGAACTAGAGACCAGACAATATAGTAGCCATTGCAACAGTTAATGTTTTGTGGATTCTGCTACATGATAATATCTTAGATGGGTTTTTCTTCTTGGTGTGAAACTCAATTCATTTCAATTCAATAAACATTCATTAAAGTATCTACCATGTGTGGGGCACTGTGCTCACTCTGGTGATAAAAAACACAAATGAAAAAGTCCCCCACTCTTGAAGAGGTTACATTCTAACAGGGTAAAGAAATATAATGTATATACAAGGAAATTTAGAACACTAAAAACCGAAGAAGGGGAGAACACTGACAACTGGAGTGGGAGAGTCAAGGAAGCCCTCAAGGATGAGGTTGCACCTGTGGACCACTTCTCTGTATCCTTAACTTGAAAAACACAGCCCACTGAAACAATAAAGACCAAACTCCTGTTGGCTGCTGGGCAGTTTTGCCCCGATAGTAGAATATACACTTGTCACTTAAGTGGAGTTAGCCCTTGGTTTACATGAAGTAAGTGACCACTTAGAGACTGATATGAGGGAGCTGTACACCAATTGTACAAAATATCCCTGTTGGACCAGTTTCTTCCTTACTTGACCTAATTTTCCTCCATTTAATGGCTTCTGACATTTGACCAACAAATAAAGGTAGTTGATATGTCCAGAAAGCCACTATTAATATGCATACCTTCCCATCAGTAGAAAAATTATATACACAACTTGTAGCATCACGCAGTAAATGAATACAGTAGCACAGTATTTAATAAACCCAAAGACTCAAGCTGCTGGGGTTAGGACTCACTGAAGGGAGAAGGGAACAAACATTTATATAGCGCCCAGGCACTGTGCTAAGAGCTTTTAAACAATTTGATCCCCATAACAACTCTGCAGGGTAGATGCTGTTACTATTATTATTATTTTTTACCGTTTTATAATTGAGGAACCTGAGGCAGGCAGAGGTTAAGTGACTTGCCCAGGGTCACACAATTAGTATCTGAGGCCACATTTGAACTCAGATCTTTCTGACTTCAGGCCCAGACCTTTTTCCACTGTGTCACCTAATTACCTATTTGATAAAAACTGCTGGAAATCAGTCTGGAAGAAAGTAGCTACAGACCAGCATCTCACTCTGTATATGAAAAGCAGCTCCCAGTGGATGTGTGGCTTAGACAGAAGGATGCCGGCATGAATAAAGTAGAGAAGCAGCCTTTAGCTCTTTCTCTTTAGCAGATTAGTATGAATCTGCATTTATCGTACATCCTTTAGTATGAATTCCTGTTTCATTGACTTCTTGGAAGTCAAAGAGAAAGAACTTAAGATTTTTAAAATTTATTTTAAATTTATGGAATAAATCAATCATTTCCATAATATAGTGTGATTAAAAAAGATGATTGCACATGAAACTGCAAATCTATTATGTACAACTTGCTATTCCTTTTAAATGTGTAATTATCGTGTACATTTCTTTTTTTTTTCTTCCCTTTCTGCCCTAAAGATGGCTACCATTAGACACAAATATGTATACATGTGTAAAATCATTCTATTTATACTTCTATTTATCAGCTCTTGAAGCTGGAGGTATGAGATACAGGGAAGTTGTTTCTATTTTTCTCTTATTCAACAGACACTTATTTACTAGGTGCATACTATGTTCAAGATCCTGTGCTAGGTGGTAGTGGATTCAAAAACATAAGAACTGTTACTGCCCCCAAGGAGGTTGTTTTCCCTCTGTCCACTTCTCTCCATTTTTATGGCCCTTTCCCTAATTCGAGCTCCCAGAACCTTTCACCAGAACTATTGCAATGACCTTCTCTTTGGTCTCTTTGTTTTCATTCTTGAGCTACTTTAATCCATCCTCCAGGAAGTTTACAACTTTATATTCCTAAAACAAAGGTAGGGAAGATAAATTTCAGTGGGAAAAAGGAAAGTGTAGCAGCAATCAGCCCTGGGTTGCTTGAGACATTGACAAGAGGCAACAGTCCAGGTGAGATATCCCGCCTTAGGTTCTGGGCAACCAGGATCCCATGAGGAGACCAGGCCAGGCTAGGTTTTAGAGAGTGCTTAAAGGAGAGAGAGTGCTGCTTAGGAATAGTTTGCAAAGTAGGCTGTAGACTTTTGAAACCTCCCAGTTCTACAACCTTTCCTCTATTCCCTAATTCACCTTAGTATCTTCATATTCCTTCTTAATTAAACCCGATCTCCAGAAAACACTAAAAATTTGGCCAAACAAAATTAGAAATTCTGATAAGAAGTTAAAGTGCTTCCCTGATAAATAAATGGTCAAAGGATGTGAACAAACTGTTGTCAAAAGAACTGCAAAGTATTCATAACCACATAAAAATGCTCCAGATCGCTAATAATTTATTAAGAGAAATGCAAATCGAAACAACCCTGAGGTTTCACTTTACACTCTGCAAATTGGTAAATATGACAAAAAATAGCAACAGTGTTGAAGAGGTTGTGAGAAAACAGGCACACTCATATATTGTTGTTGAAGCTGGGAAATGATACAGCCATTTTGGAAAGCAACTTGAAATTGTACAAATAAAGTGACTAAAATATCCACATACTTTGAAGCAGAGAACACCATTGCTGGGCTTATACCCTCACTAAGCCATCAATAAGGAAACCACCTCATATACTCCAGAATATTTGTACCAGAACTTTTTGTGATAGCTAAGACTTTGAGACAAAGTAGTTGCTCATCAGTTGAGCAATTGAAAAACAAAATATGATAAATGAATGTGATGAAATATTGTTGTTTAGTTGTTTCAATTATGTCCAACTCTTCGTGACCCATTTGCGGTTTTAGCAGCAAGGATACTGGAGTGGTTTGCCATTTCCTTCTCCAGCTTATTTTACAGATGAGGAAACTGAGGCAAACTGGATTAAGGGACTTGCCCAGGAAGATCAATCTTCCTGACTCCATGCCTAACACTCTACTCATTGCACCACCTTGCTGCCCTAATGAAATATTACTATGCTGTAACAAATTATGGGTGTGATGAATACAGGGAAGCTTGGAAAGACCTAGTACTTCTAAGTCCCCTTCCTATTTTTTTCCATTGATTCCCCTGATATTCTTGAATTTTTGTTCCAACATATGAGTTTTGTTATTTTTTTTCTTGCTCTGTAAGGTAGTTTGATTGGTTTAGTACTGAATAAATAAATTAATTTATTAGCATTTTTATTATCTTGCCTTGGTCTACCCATAAGCAGTTAATATTTCTTCAATTATTTAGGTTCTTTGTGTGAAGAGTGCTTTGTAACTTTATTCTTATAGTTCCTGGGTGTGTCTTGGCAAGTAGACTTACAACGATTTTATACTGTCTGCAGTTGTTTTAAATGGAATTTCTCTTTCTATCTTTTCTGCTAGATTTTGTTGGAACTATGTAGAAATACTGATGATTTTTGTGGGTTTATTTTCTAACCTACAACTTTGCTGAAGTTATTAATTGTTTTGACTAGTTTTTTATTTGAATCTCTAGAGTACACTTAAGTATACCATTGCATCATCTGCAAAAGAAGATAGTTTTGTTTCCTCACTTGCCTATGCTTATTTCTTCAATTTCTTTTTCTTATCTTATTGCTATGGTAGCATTTCTAGTATAATACTGCATAGAAATGGTAACAATGGACATCCTTGTTTTACTCCTCATCTTACTGGAAAGGCATGTAGGTTATCCGCATTACAGATTATACTTGCTTTTGGTTTTAGACATATACTACTTATCATTTTAAGAAAAGTTCTATTTATTCCTGTGCTTTCTAGTATTTCTAATAGGAATGGATATTGTATTTTGTCAAAAGGTCTTTCTACATCTACTGAAATAATCTGGACTTTTCTAATGTATTGATCAGTTATGCTGACTTTTTTCCTTTCTAAGAAAATAATGTTTGTCATATGGGAGAGGGAAGGACACTTGGTATAATTATGGTGATGTAAGAAACAGAAAATGATTATTAAATTTTTTTTAAAAAATTAAAGTGCTATTTCTCTTAACAGTGCTTTGCACTTGAACAGGGATTGAGCCTTAAGCCTGAAATGAAATCTCTCGTTGGAATCTTAGGCTCATTTGGCAAGGGAAGGCTTTTTTCTCAGTTGGGTATTAAAATCTGCCCAGGGCTAGGAGAAGAAGGCATGGAAGAGGAGCTTTGCAAGTTTGTTTTTGGCTGGGCCTGAGTTCGGAACACTAGCCACAAAGGAATAGGAAGTGGTCTTTCCCCCACCATGGTGACCAAGCCCACAGAGTTGTTTCCTATTGATCTCAAAGTGAAAAACTGGGCTGTTGTTCTCATTGTTTCTGTAAAAACAAGTTTCATGATAGCATTCCCCAAGAAAATTAAAGTGCAAGCTATGCCATCATCTCTGGGGAGTGTAAGCTTTATATTTAGTGCAGTTCGACCTGTTCTAGGCTTGGTCTCCTCTGTTCACTGAGAACCTGAAAGACTGATTGATTGTTAAGATGGATTTTAAAAACACAGACAGATAGACAAACAGACACACACACGCACGCACACACATACACACATACATGCATGCATGCATGCACACACGTACAAACACACTCCCCAAGGAAAGATAGAAGTTGTGAAAGCCCTCTGCATAATGTAATCCTCACTCTAAAGATTAAAAAGCAACCAATCTAAAGCTGCTCCTCCAGATGCCAAAAAACCCACAACTTAGGTATGCAAATCAGCAGCCCGGCAACCTTATCCCACCTATACAAGGAAACCTTTCTCATTGGACCCTATCAGGGGTCAAAAGCTTCCTCATTTCTTTACCCACCTGCAGAATACTGGAATCTACCCACTATCTTCTTTTCTTTGGCAGGCACTAAGGGAAGACCAGTCAAAGTACCAAGCCGGGCAACTTCAGTTTTTCTGAGGATTTCTGCAGAATGTTTAGCCCTGTTAAGAAAGAGGAAGTTCTTCAGAGGTCAGCTAAATTACAGAGCTAGAGGGGGGATAAGATCTAACTATCCTTTCATTCTATTTGTCCGCATCACTATCACTACTATCAAGTAATACTGACCAAACGCCCCATATTAATGTGTCTCTTGCAACATGATAGGAAATCCCAAGACATGTTCCCTGCCCACAAGTCACCCATTAAATGATATAGTCAGCTACTTGTATTAATCATGGGGTTATG